AGTTTATCTGCATTCTCTTTTTCTCGTTCAATATATCCTTCATATTTCATTAAGATTTCGGCTTGCTCTAAAACCTCAGAACTATAATTTTTCATTGCGGAAAAAAGAGCGGGATCATTATTTACTATATCGGGAATTCCAATATTAGGACGAGATAGTATGGATGTATATCTTAATTTTTGATTGATAGGAGCCGAGCCAATGGATTCTAAAAATGGATTGATTATCTCAGGTTCTATGCTTGTATTCTTAAAATGGGAAATTACTTTGTTATAATTTTCTACTTTTTGAGTAACAGCATTGAAACGCTCTTCACTTGCTAAACCAATTGCTCTAGAAAGGGGAGTTAAACGAACATCAGCATTATCTTGTCTTAACAGCAAACGGTATTCTGCACGAGAAGTAAACATACGGTAAGGTTCATCTGTACCTTTTGTAACCAAGTCATCAATTAAAACACCAATGTAGGCTTCGTAACGATTGAGAACTAAAGGTTTGTTTTCGTTTATTTTCAGGTGTGCATTTATACCCGCCATTAAACCTTGACATGCTGCTTCTTCATAACCTGTAGTTCCATTAATTTGTCCTGCAAAATAAAGGTTATCTACCAGGTGAGTTTCTAAAGTAAGTTTTAATTGTGTTGGTGGAAAGTAATCGTATTCGATAGCGTAACCCGGACGGAACATTTTTGCATTCTCTAATCCTGGTATTAAACGTAAAGCTTTTTGTTGTACATCTTCGGGTAGGGAAGAGGAGAATCCGTTTAAATAAATCTCCACTGTATTCCAACCTTCTGGTTCTACAAAAAGTTGATGTCTTTCGCGTTCGCTAAAACGTGTAATTTTATCCTCTATACTTGGACAATATCTTGGACCCAAACCTTGAATTCTTCCCTGAAACATAGGAGACTTTTCAAAGCCTGTTTTTAAAATATCATGTACTTTTTGATTTGTATAAGTAACATGACAAGGTACCTGTTTTTTAGGATTAGCTCCAATAAAAGGAGACGTCCCTTCGAGGTAAGAAAATTTATCAATCACTTCATCACCACCTTGCTCTTCCATTTTGGAATAATCCAAAGACCTTCCATCAATTCTCGGAGGCGTTCCGGTTTTCATTCTTCCACTTTCAAATCCTATTTGGACTAATTGTTCCGTTATTCCATAACTTGCAGATTCACCAGTTCTTCCTCCGCCTAATTGTTTTT